CTCAGGTTCAGTTCAACCACCCCCCACCCCCATGACCGTATTTAGGAATAGATGTATGGATGGTCAACCTTCATGAAGGAGGACTAACACAGGACTGTTGTATTAGACTGCATCAGATTTAGCCATATTCCCATATTACACCACCAGATGGAGCATAAACAGTATGTGATGCTTTCTCCTGTTGGTGTAAACATTAGCAAAAACTACACACAGACACAAACATAATGCATAAGATGTCACCTGTTCCTTAGGTGGTAATAAAGCACACAGTCATATAACTTGTCACAGCTATTAAAAACTTAGTGCCTATGCAATAATGAGTTAAAATACACAAAATGACAGTAGACTTTGAAAAAGGAGGAGAAGAGGGCGACATTTATCTGAATATAAAATATGAGTTGTCTTTCTGATGACATGTGATCCTCATTTCATCTGAGACTGGATAGTAGAACCTGATGAGCACGGTGGTAATGTAGAGCCTCTTGGAGGACGGACAGCGTGGCAGAAATCTGTCATGTTTGGTCAATAAAAGGGAAGAGCTCCTGGGAAGCACAGATGTGGTTTCATCATGGGTACAGCAGCTTCTGCAAATATGTCAGTTCATGGTCTGTAAATTCTGTTTTATGCATCATACTCCATGTTGTGGTATTGATGCATGCACGTAATATATCCCTGGAAGTTCTTGTAAATGTTGTCCTGCTTTTCACATATCTGCTTCAGAAAGGGCTCATAATGGAAGTGATGGATTTCTCTGCTTGTTTCATTATGTAGTTTCCATCAAGAAAAAAATATGCTTGGAAATGTGGTCAAGCAGATGACAGGAATGTTTTTGAAAAATAGTGATTTCTCATCACTTTGAGCTCATTTTGTATTTTACATTTGCCTTCAAATAAATTAATTAATAAGCAGAATACATTTATACTGCGGGTGGCACAGTGGAGCAGTGGTTAGCGCTGTGGCCTCACAGCAAGTGGGTTCTAGGTTCGAGTTCAGGCCGACCCGATGCTTTTCTGTACAGAGTTTGCATGTTCTCTCTGTACCTGCATGGGTTCTCTCCAAGTGTTCTGGCTTCCTCCCACAGTCCAAAGACTCTAAATTGCCCCTTAGGAGCGAATGTGAGTGTGTGTGGTTGTTTGTCTACATGTCAACCCTGTGATAGCCTGGCGACCTGTCCAGGGTGGACCCCACCTCTCGCCCAATGTCAGCTGGGATTGGCTCCAGCCCCCCCACAACCCTATTCAGCAATAAGCTGTATAAATAAAGGATGGATGGATGGACATATATACTGAAGTATGAAAGGCATGAGATGGATGTTGAAAATACAAGCCAGTGACAAATTAAAAGAATTAACCAGTAAAATAAATGAGGACAAACATAATGAATGCAGGTGTTTGCATACAAACCCCAGGAGATCATAAAAAGTGTGGCAATTATAAAAAAGTCATAATGTGCTATTTTTTTCTCAGTTACCAGATCGTTGATTTGGGAGTGACGTGTTAGTGAGCAGTCTCTCCACCATCATCAAGCCACCAAATGCACCAGTATCTTTTGGAAGACCGATGTAGAGGCTGTTAGTTTGCAGTTTGCATGGCTCTATGGGGATGGCCATGCCAGCCCTTCACTTTGGTCCAGGAAAACATAGCTCAACAGCCTTTGGATAAATTGCCACCAAGTGTGGTATACACGTTCATGTACAACCTCAGAATAAACTGTAGTTACGCCGGTGATCCTTTGACATTTTCTTTAGTGCTGTTAACAGGTAGCTTTTAGCAAAAAAAGCAGAAGAAAGGAGAGCTACTTGAAACTAGTGTTCTGAAGTCAGACAAGTTATCTTTGGTGATGGGTATGAAGCTTTGGAGATCAACAATCAAAAAATACCAAGGCACTCGTCTCAAAAAAAGTTTAAATGCTTTGAATTAAATTGGCATCTTAAGTGAACAAGGCATTTTAACCTTTTTAAATCACATCAGTGCCTTGGTATTTTTTTGCTTGTTGTTAAAGTTTTAATTTGTCCAGTATCATCAAACACCTTCACAACTAAGAACCTTACCTGTCCTTTGTGTGAAGTGTTAATCAGCACATGTTAGCATGGTGACAGTAGTATACTGTACAACTCTATACCTGCTGAAGATCAGCATGTTTGTCACTGTGAGGATGTCAGCACTGAGGTCAAAGCACCATTGTGTGGTCCATGGTGTGGCTGATGACTTATTTTCATGTATTTGTCTTGTTTTCTTACATTTCTCATTTAATTAATTTGTCTTTAACATCCATCAGCAGGATGCAGACAGTAATAACCTTAATGTTGTCTTGCAGTCACAACCTATCATAAATGCTGCTATGACTTTAAACTACACTAAAGGATTGACTGTTGTTAGCACAGTCTCAAAAGGTTTTTAAACCAACTTAATGGTAATTTTTGTGGCTTTAGTCATATGGTATCATATCGCATACCAATGCTATCATGCAAATGAAGTGGAGTAAAGAAATACTTGTCACTCATGTGCATTCACTCATGTACACAAACGTGACAGCATATCATGTTGCTAGCAAAACATCCACACCCTGCACGTACTAAATGCGACAGCATAGCATGAAGGTGCCAGTGGACACAAACGCATGTTTGAACAAGCTCGCCACATTCTGGATGTTCTTCTCCTTGGAGAAGTCAATATTTTAGTTGCAGCCTATGAGCTGAGTCAAACACAAATTTGCATACACACCCTTAAATAGACACTGGTGTAAAAGTCACGCCACTGAGCTCCTTGTTGTGTTCACACTCTGTGTTGTCAGAGACAGCTAATAAAACTGTTAGGCTTCTCACAGGCTTTTAAATAAAATTTACACTACTAGTCAAAGGTTTGGACACACTTTTCCACTCAATTCAATGGGAAAGTGTCCAACCATTTGACAGGTAGTGTATATGCAAAATAAGATGGTTTTCACAAACAGACTGTGGTGATACTAGAGCTGATGCTGTTCTTGGCGTTTATGTGATGACACTGATTATTACACAGTCTGAAAAGAAGAGGAGAGGTGACACATTCTAAGGATTTGTTCATGCATTAATACACTACAAACTGGTCAGTGACTAATTGTTAGCTACTATTTCACAATGAAGACTCTAATATCTGAATGGTAGAGCTATGATCAGTGATTTATAATCATACTTAAGCAGTGACAAGTTAGGAAAAGATGCAAAGCACTGCTGATAGCATGACCTCTGGCTCATTTACAGTTGTATGCAAACTACCAGGGATCTGGACAGCTGACCTCAACAGCTGTAACAGCTGTTTTCACATACAACTGCCAGTCTCTCTGATGAAAATGATTTTGACTGCATCTGTTAAGAGTCCTGAAGCTGGTCACGTCTCATCAGAATCGATGAGTGGTGTGTTTCCTGGGTATGATAAGCTGTAACATACAGATGGTCACATCAGGCTGTACGCACACAAATACAAAGTAAAAGCAACATTGCAACAGCTGTTATTTTATGGAAAACAACTGTCATCCCACCAAATGACTTGAATCTGCACAGAAAACAATGACAAATAAAGGAGCCTTTGATGTGACAAAATGATTATTTTATTTGGCAGGGCATCAAGATACTGTCTCTGATAATCCAGATCAGATAACAAGTGTAAATAGCTTCTGTTATGGGAAGGTCTGGAAAGATAAGAATATAAGTGTGAGTGTGTGTGAATAAATATAAGCTCCAATGTGATAAATAGTCAAAGTTTCTGAATTTGCTTCATTATAGTGACCCAAGTGTCAACATTTCTGAGATCCGAGCTGACATCCGTAAATACCTGCTCCAATTATACACTTCTGTGGAAGATATTTTTAATTAGATCTCAGTGATTCATCAAGCAGCATTGTCCATTTACTGAATTAACCGTGATAACATGCACAAGTAGAATGTACAGTAAGAGAGTATGTGTTAGCCCTGCGATGGATTGGCGACCCCGTTCAGGGATTAAGCGGTAGAAAATGAATGAATGAATGAATGAATAGTGACCTCATTATAATGACTGGACCTCATCTACTACATAGAGTATATGGAATACATACATTTATAAAAACTCTGCACAATGCTGCTACACAACAAGACCAAAATACTACCCTCAAAAATGACCCTGAATTACATATTTGACATGTGTAACCAAAATCCATAAAATAAAAGAATAGACTGACATAATCCATTATAAAGCAGATTTCTTTATGGAACCTTCCCCTCTAGAAAGCAAAACCTTTATCATTATTTAGTAATATACCACTAATAATAAAAAAAAAAAAACATGCTGCAGACATAGGAATGGAACAAAACAGTACAACAACAAAAAGCAACATAAGAACTTCTTTCATATCTAGAGCCCATTTTCAGCCCAGACTGGTTGCATCACCTTTCAGTCCAAGTGACTATTTCCAGTACTAGTTATTGTGACTTGTAGTTTTTCTTGGTTAAGACATTAACATTGTCTGCAGGGAGTCCAGCCATCATTTTCAAAATGTTCAGATATGACAGCTTTACCGCCTTTAATGGCATTGAGCAATCTTTTTCCCCACGTTTACCATAAGACAACAGGCATTAAAAATAGGGTTTTCTCCAAGAAATAGAAAAAAAACACCTGTGGCTTCCTGTTTATAGCTTGAAATAATATATTTTCCGTTTTCTCTGCAAAATGTACTACAATATAACAGAGAGACACTTTATCAACGGCTGTGTAATCTAGTAGTGTCCCAGCCACTATACCTCTTAAAAAGATAAGCTTTACTGAGCTTCATTTGGTTTTTTTAGCCAACTATGTGTATGAGTGTGCTCGTGTGAGCGTGTCTGAGACAGCGCTGCGGTTCTTTGCCTTACGCGCGTCAACGGAATCCCGGAGTGCGTCATCCAACGACAGTTCTCTCGAACGCGCGCTGTGATTGGGCGAATGCTAGAAATCTCCCCGCCCACCACGCAGTCTAGTATGGAAAGCTCTCTGACGTCATGGGTACAGTAAAACTGACAGGAGGTATAAAAAGCATTGTGTCGGTGATAGCGGAGGGACCGCTCGTCAGCTGGGACGCACTGGAGATGAGTGGCTGGCGTTTGTTAGGTACAGACAGGTCAAAACATTTGTAGACGGGCCCAACAGGTAAGAAATGTTTATGGTTTTTAATAGGCTACTGTAGACTTGAATACGGAAACTTTTTAATGTGCAGCCATAGCTGACTGACGCCAGGTAAAAAAATAACCAGGTCGTACAGAAAGCAGTTGTCCTCATTTACTGAGAAGAAAGCAAACTACTCCAGTTATATTTGTGTTATATGCACAGCTCCCGCGTGTCTCAGCGGGTGTGCAAGGCTGTTTGTAGTGGCAGAATAAGCTGCTTCTGTTGTACTTGGCCATCCACAGGCAATGATGTGCAAAGGTTTTACGGACTGAAAGTAAAGTGAGTGTGAGTTTAAACGTAATGGCACGAGTAGCCTGCAACTTCGTACAAAGTACGGTGAACTGGAAAAGCCTAAATCACATCAGTATCATGTCTTCGGATTTCTAAATGCACAAATTCCTCTTGGCTGTCCAGTGTTTAGGGCATTTGGCAGGTAGGTTGTTCCCAGAGAACCTGTCCCAGTTCATGTGTAGATTTGGATACCCAGACTGACTCCATGGTGTTATTACTCTAATTTACTGCGGGACTCCTTGTTCTTCTTGTTACTGAAGACAGTTTTTATGACTCCGTCTGTATATTTGGGCTCATTGTCAGCGGGGCGGATCTAGAGACTTCTGGACTGCGTGGCCAGGCTTGGTCACAGACACAATGACGGGTGGCACATTTGAAATACTGTACATGCACAAAAATGAGAGACTTTCTTTAGCTAACTTTGACTGTGCTCCTTATTTAGCTTAAAATTAAATGTGCTAAATCCCCTCTACATTATAAATTACAAACTGGGTGAACTGGGGTGGACTGCACCTGGGTTCTTCTTACTTTGTTGGTGTGTATGGGAATATGCATTACTAATGTACAATTTCAAATAAGGGCCTTAAGGAGGGTAGTGCATTATTACCTAATGGTCAAACTTGATCTACCACATAACAAACCTGGGTCTAATATCACAGCACAGAAACACTGTTTGTAGATACACATGTTGGCTCATTTTCAGCCCACTGACCCGTAGCAGGTTAACTGGCAATGGATTGAGTGTTTAAGATTAAGGTCTGAAAAACAGACTAACATTTTGCATCACTGCATGTTTTTCAGTTTTGCAGCCATGACTTGCATACACCCCCAGCATGGATCGCAGCTCTATGAGAACAGCTTCAGCAGCTCAGAGCTTCAAAGCCCAGACCTTACCTCCCGACTGCCTGTGGATATGAGCAGCCCAGGGGACCATCTCTCTGCTCCATCCCTGCCAAGCATCAGCTCCTTGGTGGGGGACTTGGACACATATTCATGCCAGTTTACTGCTGCACCTGCCTACATCACTCCATCATCAGGCCGGGATGACCACCAGATTTACAGCTGCTACCCTGGAACATTCACAGTGAGTTACCCGGACGAGGCCTTGTCTCCAGGTGGGTCTGATTACTTCAGCAGCCCTGCATCCGCCTCATCTCCTTCAACCCCTGCGTTCCAGAGTCAGCATGCATTCACCTGGGATTCAGCCTTTGGTCCTTACTCACCAAGTCCAGGACACTGGACTACTGAGGAGACCTCAGCGCCACATGCCCCCTCCTTCTTTACTTTTGGTTCTGCGTCTGTGGACGATTTGTCTCATTTGGGTCAACCACGCATACGAGAGCAGGACCCTTTCACTTTGACCCATCCTCACCCATCTGCATTGACCTTCCCCTCCTTGGTGATGGAGCAAGCATGTAGCCTCGATGGCACCGAGCAGCTGGATGGTAGCTTATCGCCCAAGTTAAAAAGTGGAAATGAGGGCTGCTGTGCTGTGTGTGGGGACAACGCCTCCTGTCAGCACTATGGGGTTCGCACCTGTGAGGGATGCAAAGGGTTTTTCAAGGTAATAAAGTCAGACTTTTCTATGCATTATTTATTTGTTTAGAAACACACAAGGTTTTCTATACAAAGAGGGAACAATGTGTTAACTAAATGAATGTTTTGTGTCTTATTCTTTTATTAATTCTTATATTTATATTACAGCGTACAGTACAAAAAAATTCCAAGTATGTTTGCCTTGCAAACAAGGACTGTCTTGTAGACAAGAGGAGGAGGAACCGATGCCAGTTCTGCCGTTTCCAGAAGTGTCTAGCTGTTGGCATGGTCAGGGAAGGTGAGTACAGAATGAACCCAGAGGAATCAGTGTACAGTTATTAGGATTGATATCGATGATCTGGAAGTAACTTTAATGTTACCACTTTTCCAGTTGTGAGAACAGATAGCTTGAAAGGACGACGAGGTCGCCTGCCGTCCAAACCTAGAATCATCCAGGACGTGACATCCACTGTGTCTCCAGTGAGCATGATTGCTTCACTTGTGAGGGCTCACATCAGCTCCAACCCTGGTCCTGGGAAACTGGATTATTCCAAGGTAGGAAGTAAAAAACTAAATCCCTCCCTTTATCAGTTTTCTACAACCCCAAATCAGAAAAAGTTGTGACGGTGTGTATGACACTGAAACCAATACAGCAGCACATTATTTGATGTGATACCTCATCAATTTTATTCTTTGCTCAAAATAAACACACTTCAATTCTGATGCCTGCAACACATTTCAAAAAAAGTTGGGACAGTAAAGCGTTTACCACGGTATGATGTTGTTGTTCCATTTCACTTAAAAGACGATTAGGGACTGAAGACACCAAGCGATTCAGTGTGTCAGGTGTCATTTTGTCCCATTCTTCCTGCAAACAAGTCTTAAGGTGCAACAGTCCTGGGTCTTTGTTGATGAAATTTGCATTTCAAAATGTGCCACACACTCTCTATTGGGGATGGGTGGGGACTGCATGTAGACTGGTCCAGCTCTCACACCCTTTTCCTCCATAGCCAGGCCTTGGTAATGTGGCACTAGGTTTGCATTGTCTTGTTGAAATATGCATGGGCGTCCCTGGAACAGACGATGTCTTGAAGGCAGCAGATGTTGCTCCAACATCTCTCTGTATTGTTCAGCATTAAAGGAGCCATCAGAGAAGTGTAAGTGAACTTTGCCCTGGGCAATGACATGACCCCAGACCATGACAGACCCTGGCTTTTGGTGGCTGTTGCTGGTAACAGTCTGGACGGTCCTTTTTGTCTTTGGTCTGGAGCACACAGCGTCCATTCCTTCCAAAACACGTTTCCTCTGTGTGATGGTCCGTCCCAGATGTCTCTGAGGACACTGCTGACACAGAGCTTCCTTTTGGCACAGTAAAGTTTTAAGCAGCACTTATGGACTTAACTACGTATTGTAGTGCCTGACACTTGTGTGCCAACGTAATCCCGTAATCGTTTATAGAAGAGTGACGATTCTTGATGCAGTTGCGTCTGAGGGATTTCTCAGACAAACTGGCGGTCCTTGGCCTCTCTTTGCTCCTCCTAAAGGGATTGGCCCTTCCTTGATGTCATTTTTGTACTAAATCATGATTACAGTCATCTGATGACATCACCTGTTTCAAATGGAATCGTCATTTCATTGTTTTAACTCATTACTGGCCCTGAAATGCAGCCAGCCCAACTTTGTTTGGAATGTGTTGTAGCATCAGAATTGAAGTGAGTTTTTATTTTGAACAAGGAACAAAACTGATGAGGTATCACATCAAATAATGTGCTGCTGTGTTGATTTCAACATCATACAGGGCGGAGATTATTTACAAATGACTATTTTCAGTTATAATTTGGATTTTACCTACTCTACTCTCATAACTACTCTTTACGATTTCAGTATGACGAGACAGAGGACAGTCCGAACCAGAAGGAGGATGCTAGTGATATCAAGCAGTTTTACGAGCTACTCACAGCCTCTATGGAGGTGATCAGGAAGTGGGTCAAGAGCATCCCAGGTTTTTCTGAGTTCTGCTCAGAAGACCAGGAACTACTGTTAGAGTCTGCGTTTGTTGAACTCTTTATCCTGCGTCTTGCATATCGGTAAGTGCAGCCTCCTACAAAACCTTTACAATAGATTTAGACAATCACAGTAATATTGTACAACTTAGATGAAACATCCCTGAGACAACCTGCCTATGCTGTTTTCTCTTTAAAAGGTCCAATCCTGACACGGACAAGCTCATCTTCTGCAACGGGACTGTGCTTCACAAGACGCAGTGTGTCCGAGGCTTTGGGGACTGGATTACCTCCATCTTGGAGTTTTCTCAAAGCCTCCACCGCATGAAGCTCGACGTTTCCTCCTTCTCCTGTCTCACAGCCTTGGTCATAATCACCGGTAAGAGCTTTAGTCATATCGGGTTTTAACCTGTTTATCCCCTTTCTAATTTTAAATCGGTTACCTATATGCAGCGGGGACAACACTAGGAATCTGGTTTCACTTGTATGGACAATACAAGGCAGTTACGTACCACAGGATTGACACAGCAGGTGTATGACAAAATGTAACACGACCTCACACACAGTGCAGAGAAGATGTGATATTTCACAGCTGCCTAAACATAGCCACAATGAAGGCTTACATTTAATGTCAAGGAATTGCTCCAATCTAACAGTATTAACACTTGAGCTGTGCTGTAGTCTGCTAAATATAACTTTTGTTTTGTATAAAGATTTTCCAAATACAACCCTTGAGTTCTACTTTGTTAAGATGAAGAAAATCTAATGATAATCCCTACATCTCAGGTTTGACAGCACATGGTTTATAGACTCTTGAATCAATTATTAGTGTGTGTTATTTACATAAATAAGGTTCACTTATTGTTCTCTGTAGATCGACATGGTCTTAAGGAGCCAAAACGTGTGGAGGACTTACAGAATCAGCTCATCACCTGTCTTAAAGATCACGTCTCCGGATGCGGCTCCGAAACCTTGAGGCCCAATTATTTGTCTCGACTTCTTGGAAAACTGCCTGAGCTCAGGACTCTGTGCACTCAAGGCCTCCAGCGTATCTTTTACCTTAAATTAGAAGATCTTGTTCCTCCACCACCAATAGTTGAGAAAATCTTCATGGATACGCTTCCGTTTTGAGTGTGAGATGGGAGATTGACTATATGCAGCATCAAAGCTGGAGTTCATTTGAGAGCCAAGAACAACAGACTGAGGGCTCGTGCTTCAGCTCAGATGAATAACAACCCTAATGGATTATGCAGCTACAATCAAAAAGGGCTACTCTTGAACTATAGAGTGAATGACTTGTTAAGAACTGTGCTCTCGCCAGATGGAATTAGACAGGCCAACTCATGGACCAAAGGGCAACTGTTTACAGGTGCCATGAATTGGACCGTTTCTGGTGGAGGGACTATGATTGCACCTTCCATATAGTAACAAACTGAAAGAAATTATATTTGCATTATCATCTGAAGAATGTAATGAGCAAAACAAGTTTCTCTTTTGTGACAGTGATTATTTTATGATTTGGATCACTGTAACTTGCATATAAAATATTCAGCAAAGTCTTATTGTGAATTCTTTAGGCTAAGGATTAAAAAGTGGTTGGCATAATGTTTCTCTTAAATAGCTTACATGTTCACATTATTTCACATAACCACTTTGTCATTCAAGTAGACTTTCTAGCCCCAAAAGTGAAGTTGATGATCTCAAACACGAGTGACTCAGAGCTCCAGGCTGCTTTGCCAACATCTGTATTTGGTTATAAGAAAGTAGGTTAAACCTACAGAATTATTTGGTAATATCATTCATGTATCATGAATAGACACTGAGCAGCTAATATCCAGTACAGTCTTATAAACTGGTCCTGCTTGTAAAGCTAATTGGTGTTATTGCCACATTTTTACACAGTCTGGAAAAATGTAATGTGCTTTGGGGTAATCATTTTTACTTAATAAAAACTTCTGTTTTACAGCAGCAAAACATGAAAAACACTGTAGAACTTCATATTTTCACCTGCTTTTGTCATCTCTGCTCAAAACACTTAAAGCAGTGCGGTGAATGATGTAGTATTTGTAGTTGAAGTTAGAGAGCAGCTTTTTATTGTGGTAAATTGTAAATGTCATAAATACAACAACTATATTTCTCAGTGTAAGGACATTAGTGGACTCTTCTTCCACCGTGTGGCAGTGCTGAATACGCTGCTGTGCCAGCACTCTTAGTCAAGTGTAACGTCTCCTGGCAACAGATCAGAACTTACTGCTGAAAAATGTGCCCCCACCCGCCTCCCTCGTAGTTATGTGCTGGTCTCTTTTTAGAAGCTGGTGGAATTTCCAGTCCAGCCTCAAGTGACCCAGACTACTTTATCATTGTACAGTGCCACACTGTCACATGCATGTGTGCGTTTGTCAAAGCACCGCCAAAGATTATTCATAGGTGGTAGATTATAGATTAATCAGGTGCATCATTTCACACCATGCAGGCCTTTGTGATCCACTATAATAGTTCAAAACGCAAGAGTGACCATCTCAACAGGAAGAGTAGGCTGGAGTCTGAAAAGGAGCAGAAAAGACAACCTCACGCCTTGTGCACCATTGTGCCATTTTGGCCTGTTGATGATGCTAGATGAAAAATAAGAATCTTACCTACTTTATCTCAAATCATTACGGGACAATCCATCTAATAATTCAAAAGATGTTTCCCTCAAAGCCAACAATGTCAACCTCATGGTGATGCTAGAGGATAGGCCAGAGGTCGACATTCTCTGGAGAAGCCTATGCAACATTTCATGTTCTTCTATCCACCCAGTGTTGTGATATTTCAGTTTGGACTGACCAGCTGACTGTGTGACAGTGGCACCCCAAAGGCATGGAATTAACACAGAAGGTTGTGAGTATGTGAACAAAAAGTATAGCGGTGGGCTGTGGAGCAGGTGAAAGGGCTGTGACAGAAGGAACAGGTGCGACTGACATGGAAGGAGCGAAGAGACACAGCCAGCACACAGAAGATGCTATCGACCTGCTTTGGAGAGACACTGAACTAACAACATCATTAATGGCTCCTCCAATTTTACTACAGACCTTAAACAAAAAGGTGGAGATATGGTCTGAAGCTGCAACCTGACTAGTGCAAGCTCTTCAACTGGCAGGTACAATTCCTGGCCCATGTAGTGCCTGCTGATGTTAATTTACCAGTCCCTACTACAGCCAAGGGACTGGGAGAATTTGTAGGCCTGGCAGGAAACTACAGACACTCTGAGTTTGCAAAGGTTGCACTGAACCCACTGCTACCTGAAGTATTACTAAACCATAAGAAGTTAGGCTCATGCCCACTAACTCGGTCATCAACAAGACAAACAGCTGTAGTGGCCCATGTCCTTGCCTACAGTGATTTGTCCAGCCACCAATGTTTGGGAGCAACACTGACTCATGTCCTGGAGGGTGAGAGAGAGTAAATGCTAAAATCTCACAGAATGCATTGAAGCTAACTACAGTTCTCTCAAACTGGAACTTCTAACACTTACAGAGAAGTTTAATAACCCTGCCACCCACAGTTTGCTAAGCTGGGCACAGTAAACTGGGTGGCCCAGCCTGCATCTTTCCACTATGAAATGCAGCAACATGCTGGAAAAGATGATGCCAAAGTGCTTGTTTGGTGCCCTGCAGCTGCCACACCACAAGAGAGGACAACAGTCAATGCTGCAGGCACCATTACATCAGAAGCAACGGGACCAGAGGATGCCTTTCCAGAACAGAGTACAGAGACTGCGCCAGACATTCAGGCTGTGAAAAGATATGTGGACCAAGGTTTGTGTCCCATGGGGACCAAGTGCAGGGCGCTCTCTGCTGGTGCTACCAGTCTGCTAAGACAACACAAGAGGCTCTGTGTCCATGAGGGGAGCCTGAAAACAACCAACATGCTGCTGAGTCACTAGTTCCATACTGGGTGTCCAGGTCCCAGGCAACAAGAAGTGGGGAGGCAGCACCACAAAGCTGCAGCACAAGCAGAATGGGCGCCTGACCATTCTTCTTCTGGGTCAACATGGGAAAAGAGATATGAGGTTTCCAACCTTCAGTTGTCCCAATGACTTTGTATCTGATCTAAGGAAACAGCTCTGTGACCTTTATCACTAAAAGCCTTAGAGGATGAAAGAGGGGTGGAAAATGTAGGAGGAAGAGAGTGGCAGACATGACAGGAAGGACTGCATGGTCCAGCTCAGTGCACATCATGGTCAAACCAAGGCTACAGCTCAACAGGATCATGACGTTCTTACAAAGCATCACTTTATTAGTCTGATGGTACCAGTCAGATGCAGCACCAGTGCATCTTGTATGCATGTTTTAATAAATAAATTATAGTCCACGTGCCACATGTCCACTGGAGAGGTGTCCCTGATGAATGTAGCAGTGGACAATAAAAGACAAAGCAAATGCCACGAGGACAAACACTAGCAGTGTCTTAACAACAAAGTTGTTATTAATTGCTTATAACTGACCTAGAAAGCATTAATTAACTATGTATAAACTACTGATAAAGCATTTACTTACAACTTAGAATTGTTTTTAAAAGGTTGTCTTGGGATAAACTTTTACCAGCACAGATAACATGTACTATTCAGTGCTTACTATATTTTGCATGTGTATATTACACAAAGTGTAGGTTCTTTATTTATCTTTATTTTCTTTATTATATTTATTTATCTTAAGAGATGAGGGTGAATGTTGCACCGACTGAGGTGTAGGCTCACATCTGTTTCTATCAGTAAGCCAGAGTAGATTTATTGCAACTGGGCTCTGGTCATTGTGATGTCATCTCAAGGACTGAGAATAGATTGCACCCTTGAATTTAGAGGTAACTTGCAGTTGAATCATCTGAGGCAGCAATCGGTTGGTCTCATGCTTCTCTTGAGTTACAGGTTCTGAAATTTTCCATCTGGTCTTCTAAGGTAACATAATATTCGAGTTGGAGGACTTGACAGCCTTATGAGTGTCGGGCTTACTCAGCGAGACAAATTGGATAAAGTCTGTGTCACTGTAATTACAGAACTTATGTGGGTGATGGTACACTGATAACGATAGTGGGATAAGATATGATCTATCCATCATGCCTCAGTGGAAACTGGGGAAAGCGAGAGTAATTTGAATGCAGCTCACTTGAACAAAGTAAGCCAACAGAGGATCAGAGGCTTCAGACAGAGTTACAGGACTAGAGGCCGACTCAGGAGCACACACTGTCCACCACACTGTGCTGAACACTTGCATCTATGAGAACATGTGAACGTTGCATTTATAAAACAAGACGGACAAAGAAACCTGTGATGTGTGCCTGAAGCTTGTTTCTAGGTGGGCAGCATGAGCATGAGAAATTTAGGGTGAAACCACCAGCAGGGTCATGTGCAGCATCCGACAGAAGTGAGTATGACCCGGTCAACGTCACTAAGATGTTAACCAGAAATCCTGTCCATTCAATGCAACTTTATTACATTTACACAAACATTTGACAAATTACACTACAATGAAAAATTCATATTTAAGACTCGTCTGCATCAAAAGTCAGAACAGCCTTGTGTAATGAGAGTCCATTCCTTCAGTTGGCCATCTTTATTTTTGACGATGGATTTGATCCCCCTGGACATGGGTGATACCATGTCTTGTACAAATGTGTGGAGGGATATTCTGTCATTCTTGATTCTTGTCTACTGCTCTTGGTTGGAGGGGTTCTGTTGCTCTACTTTCAGCTTTAAAATACTGCAAATGTGTCTCCAGTCAGGGGACATACAGTGCTTCTTTAAAAACGCTTGTCTGATTTTTGCAGTGTGTTTGGGATCATGTTGTCATGATGGAAAATTCATCTCCCGCCAAGTGTCTTGACTCTGGGACTCGTGTTTTCATTCACTATTTGGGTACAAACTTGTACTTGGTGCCCTCTGTAAATGTTCTCTCCTCTACACATCTTGCACTCATGCAGCCCCACATCAGCACACGCCCACCTTCAAGCACGTCTTAAAGACATGAAGGCCTGGATGACCTATAATTTCTTACATCTACACTCTGATAAAACCAAAGTTATTGTACTTGGGTCTGAAATCCCCATGATGCTCTGAGCTCCTCTCCTCTCCATCCTTCTATATGCCACCGTTACACATCACTAACTTTGTGTCCTCTCTCTCTTCCTGTACCTTGCTGCAGGTTGCCCTGGCTCTGGAGCTCTACGTCTCTGATGAGCAGTCACCAGTCACATCAACCTGATCAGTGTTTGATTGTTGTGTCTTGTTGCTTCTCTTTTCTTCGTTTGTCTCTCCTCTATCCACTCACCCCAACCGGTCGAAGCAGAAGGCCGCCCACCAAGAGCCGGGGTCTGTCGGAGGTTTCTTCCGTTAAAGGGAGTTTTTCCTCCCTGCTGTCGCCAAGTGGTGCTCAGGGGGATTTGTTGGGTTTTTCTCAATAATAATAATAATAGTGAGGTCTAGACCTTACTTTGTAAAGTGTCCTGAGACATCTTTTGTTGTGATTTGGCACTATACAAATAAAATTGAACTGAACTGAATCCATGTCACAGTCTGCACCATCCAGTCACTGCTAGTCCAGGCCCGGTCCATGTCAAACATGCAGGACCCATGTGCTCCAAACTATTTTGGTTTCATCTGACCAAAGAAGGTTCTGCCAGTGCTCATCGGGCTACTTTTCATGTTGTCTGACAGACCCTGACCTTGATCGTGAACACTGTCTGTAGAGTTGACTTCATGCAGTGTCCTCCACACTGTCTGATCAGTCGCTGATCACCAGTGTCCACACATAATCCTTGTGACAATTCAGAAGCAACATCTGTTTTTCAAACAGCAAACTGTGCATGTTATCATTTTTCAAAGATGGCCATTGTGTCTTCTGTTGCTGGTGATGGCACAGTGTTAGCTGGACTGACTTGTGTTGAAATGAGTTGGAACTCTAGTTTATCAGATAAAAACAGTGAGATCGCCTGGTAACTCCACCTAAATGCTTTTATTAGGTCTCATAAAACAAAGTTGTGATTTATTAAAGGTATATTTCTTTAAAATAGCTGGTTTACCTAATTAAAATATTATAAGATGATACATAAATTACAGTAAAAATTGTCAGGAGTGACTGAAGATGAATTTATGCAGAAATTTGTTCTTGTCACAATTTTTAGAGAAGGTCTATTGTAAACTGGGTCACGATGGTTTGTCATTTTAAAAACACTGGTCTATCAAATCTGTTGGTTTTTAATTATACATAAGATCAAATACCCTACATTACATAAAAATGGTTAACAATGAAAGATGGCACAATTTTAACTGATTTAACATTTTAGAGATGCTGCACAGTCACTGGGTTTTGTTTTATATTATATAGTAAATTCTCGGTTGTGTCACAAATGATCCAGACCCAAATTTCACAGCTGTTTAGTTTGAATTTACTCATTACAAGGGTTTTTTTTAAACAGTAAACAAATGTTTGGATTGACTTACTATTTATTATTCTTACTAGTATGTTTTCATTATATTTTTATGGTTTATCTTGTAGGCTGTTTTATTTTTTAAAAAAGACCACAGAGTCGTGTTGCGACCAATATGAAGCAAAACATATTCTCTAAAGGAGAAGAGAAACTCAGAACCAGTGCAGACAAAACATAATGTATCCCAGTAATGTCAGATTTTAACAAGTATATTAATCAAGCCATTTAAATGTTATCTTGTGTCTAAACATACCAGTTCTGTCAGTCTTTCCTTTGCTCCAGCAGCACTTCTTTTATTGCCACTGTTTTGTACACTCAATCTGGAGCATGATGTACCAGGGTTATTTAGTTTCATATCATACTGCTGGTTGACAGGAGTGTAAATATGGATTTGGCATTAGATTTCTGGCCAAAATGAGGAAAGGGTTTCAATCAATGATGTTTTATTACTGATAAACAGCCGCAACAAAATGATTTTAAAGGAAAAGGGTCCTTTGTAGAGAACACAATATTTTACACTGGACAAACTACATTTTCATTATGGACCTCTTATCTTAGATCAGACTATTTGACTATCTGATAAAGTATTGGAAAGTAACTATGTATATTTAATCAGTTATTTTCATGCTACTTTATACTTTCACTTCACTACAATCTAGGAGCAAATGCTGAACTTGAGCCCTGTTGCATTTATTTAACAGGTAGAGCTAAAATTGTTCATATAAAACAGGTTGTAAAATATCAAGCATTTTAACGTCTTATGGAAAACAGTATGAATTGCCTCATTATTTAAAGGCGCTATGCTAATTTGCCTTGACATGACATTCATGTACTAACTCTCCCTTTCCATCCACTGGACACTGCAGAACACAAAAGATCTTTCATGTCTTTAAAAATTTCTGAAGAGAGCAGTGCACTGAGCATTTCTGACCGTTTTCCATATGGAGATAAAATGATCTTTAAAAAATTTTCTAGAAATATCTGAGATGAATAGCCCAGTATTTATAAACCCAAGAACATCTGAAGAGCTATTTAAATCTCTGGCTTGAGGCAGACTTTCTCTGAACTCTTGCCACAGATCAAGTCGTATTCAACTGGCAGCATCAGTCCTTACAAGCAGCCTCTCATACATTCAGAGACATGAAGCTGTGGAGTCAGTTACGGAATGACTTACGTTTTAAAGGGGGAAGTTTAGCACTTCTCAGTGACCAACATGAGCTTCTCCATGTTGCTCAGGAAACACTAAGATGCACAGTACATCTGAGAGGAGGCGGTAGATTAGAGGTCCTGCACACACAGCGCTCTGAGGAGTCCTATCTCATCCTTAGGGTTGGTGACAGGACAGAACACATCCCATCGGAACACTGACAATAATCGCACAACTAAAATATGAAATTGTGAATGCTACTTACATATGACATGATGCGATGGCAGGCCATGCTGGGATTATTCTGACACTCACTCACCCCTGAGCTCTCAAGCTTTCACCTGATACCAACAGCTAAATCTCAAAAATCATGCCTAGAAATTGCCCATATTAAATATATCTAAAAGTCAGAGGAGCCACCTGGATCAAAATGAGTAAAGCTGCATCAAAGGAATTAAGTTTCAAAAGGGCTGGAGAGTAGGTAAGAGAGAGATTGTGCCAGTGCATCAGTCTGCTTCCTAAGTCTAAAACAAAAAGATGAGCAGCGCCATCCAGTGGTCATACAACGACAGTTAATGTTTGAACAAAGCTCCATCCCTGCTTTGGAACAGCATCCTAAAGATGGACACTCATCTACATGTATATTGTATTGTGCAGCATCTGCACTGATTTCTTTCCATCTTTTTCATTTTTTTTAATTGTAATATACTGTATTCTAACTTTTTTAAATAATTCTTTTGGGGGGGGGTTCACTTATATTAAGTACATATACACATAAGTAGGTTGCTAAGAGGTGGACAGGAAATGGAGGAGACAGATGGGGAGACCTGCGACATAGGTCGGCGGTCAAACTCGACCAACATCACACACACTGTGCCTGATGCACTGCACCATGACAGCTTTCAGCTACCGGGGCACCCCACTGTATTCTAATTTAACTCCAATTGATCGAGCAATTTTCTTATAGGATTATTTTAAATTGTCGTCATCATGTTTGAATGCTTTATTTTCATCAATATTTCTGTGCTGCTCCAGGATATTTCTGCTAATTATCTTTGCACTCAGTACTATTGGTCTTTTTTTATTCCATGAAGTTTTTACATATTTAGGCTTTTGACCAATTATACTGTAATGTACTACTGAGCTGAAGACAATGCCCTTTCCAGGACTAGTAAAACACACTTGATAGCTTTATGGACAACATCCGCAGCCCTTACCACTTGTTAATTTGTGATTTATATTTCTATGTTCATAGAACATTCCCCATATGTATATAACTTAATGTATATAAATGAATGTATGTGGTTTTGTGCCTACATATTATACACAATATTTCTGTAATATTGCCAGTAGTAGGGCCAATAGTCTCATCATCCTTTCATACCATTGGGACCGGACTAAAAAGGAGATTTTAATAGTGAACCTTGTTGCTCCAATAAAACAACCATCCCCTCTCTCAGTTTGAATCCAAATTTGTGAAGTAACTAAAAGTCGGAAGGAGTATTTATTTACTCAAGCAAATGTAGTAATACCTCATTAAAATACTCTGTTACATGTAAAAGTCCAGCTTTCAAAATTTTAGGTGTTAACAAAATGTAGGCTATTTAATGCATCAAAAATAAAAGTACTCATGCTTGATGCTTTCTTTCTGTTTGTAACATATAAATACATTTTACTACTTTTTTTAATTAATCAAATTATGTAGATCTAAATGATGTAATGATGAGAGCAAACCTGGGGCTTTTGGGCTCCTGTGACCCCTGTCTTTCGCCCAGTCAGTAATCCCGTCTTGATTACGGTAACTCTGCGGTTTTCGTTATACCGTATATGAGTGTCATTACGGTAACAATGGGGCAGTTTGGTTGATCCACACTCCAATCAGCAGGTGGCGGTAAAGCGCCTTAAGCTGGCATGCAAACCGTCAATAAATTACGGAGAAGGAGGAAGAAGAAGACGACGAAGAAGAAGTAGTTTACCTTTTTAAACATGGCGCTGTCTTGTTCGAGCCTGTATAGAAATTTGTCTTTGACCAGAGTGTGTTGCCTCCGGACAAACAGGGTAACAAATGGACTTTATTCTCCAAACGTGTCCTGTCAGTCAAGGTATGTCTACAGCTCTTTAAAATCCATGTGTCCATGACTTGACACTTTGTTACTACTCACTTGAACCCATCCTGAGCTGTCACGCTAGCTGCTTGTCCCGATAACAGTTCGACCGTTTCTACGTTTGATAATGAGCGTTTAATTTCAGTTTCAGTCGTGTAAAGAAAACTCTTTATGCTTACATCGTGATAGTTGGCACTGTCATTGTTGGACGTTCACGTTAAAACTGGCTAATGTTCACCAGAGCATCCAGGTGTAATGATGATTTCCAGCATAGATGCCTTTCTTATGAAGACGTAAGTTAGAGCAAAGTAATTCGTGTCAACCTCTTCTTATTTCCAGGCTTCCTGTCTTTAGGCTCTATTCCTCGTCCAAAGTTAGAAGAGGTTTGGGTCGATATGTCACCTCCAGGCTCCAGTGGGCAAATAGCAAATATGAGGGTTTCCTCAAAAGGAGATTTCCCCGCTTTTATCAGCTCTACCACACTTTTGTAGAAGGTAAGGTCGCTCTTAACGCATCTCAGAAATTCACAGTACTCTATCGATGTATAGTGTTATCAAAACGAACCAAAGTGGACACCGAGTGTAGCCGAGGAGTCCAGATCCAGTTTCAAAGATGAAATGAAAGATCATGTTGTACATAATACTATATATCCAAAGACACTGTTCATGTGGATCACTTTTGCAGCAGGGTTTATTTAGTCAGTTACTGCACACCATTTTTTCCATTTAGTTGGGTAGTATTAATCAAATTAAAATAAACATTTTAATGTGAATATAATGTAGCAGCCGACATTGTATAATACAGATAAACCTTCATTTGGGTGTCCAAACATTCAAATAGGACTGTATGGGAACAGGAGGACTCGGGAGGGGGGATGTCTCTCCTGTTTACATGTCAAAGTGTCCGTGAGGAAGACGATGAGCCCTGATTGCTCCTGATGGCCAAGGCAGCATGGTGTCTCATTGTGTGGCTGAATGAGAAGCACACGCTAAAGAGCTTTGTCTGGAGGTTGAAACATGCTACTATATGAATGCAGTCCATTTCCAAACATAGTTTTTATATCTTTTCCAGGAGTCAAGTTACTGCTCCAGGATGCCAAAGATGTGAGGAGGATAAAAGCAAAGATGTTCTCAGAAGGAGTGAAGTTCCAGGATTTGCCCTACAGGGAGATGGAGAAGCTCAGACAGGTGGGTCTCTTGACTGTATGAGAATGAGCCTCACCACACAACACATGGTTTGGACCCTATATCGTGTCAGACTGATATTTTTAAGACACAGTGAGATGATTGAAAGGATGCATTTGCTTCACATATTTGATCTGGTTGTTGAATTGTCCAAAATACTCTCAACCAAACATTTGATTAAAGATGTCGTGATGAGCATTTTACTACCAATAAATTATTCCCTCACTGAATTTAAGGCATATATATATAAAATTACCAAGCAACAGTACTTGAAAGGAGACCAGCAGCCTCTCCTGTTGTTTACACTCAGTTACGACTGTGCACCGGATGTCAGAATTTATAGGATAATGCTAAAAAAATTGTAAAATGACACTTGTTGATGAAGCTTTGTCTGAAATTTGGAAATATTAAGGTGTTGGATGGGGGACTGTGTATTTTGAATCACCTCTTACATCATGAAACAATACATAATCTATAGACAATTCCTGTGGCTCACTACAGATTTTATCATTACTGGCTCAGTTAATTCACATGTCTGAGCTTCAGCAGCAGATTTCACTGTAGGAGGGAGAACGGTAATTGTGCTGTGAGTGATATCCTGATGGGTGTGTGCAGTATTTAAATTCAGTGCCTCGTCACTGGTTCACTTGAGGTCTGTAATGTTTATTTATTATATCTCGTTACAGTTTCACTTACTGGATGTTTGCTTCACAGGTTCGCAGAGACATGATCAAGGCCATTCCGCTGCTGGTGATATCTATCCCTCCCTTTGCCAATTACCTGGTTTTTGTTTTGATGTGAGTTATTTTAAAATGACCATCTTTTCATTTCACTTGGCACCTTTGATTTATATTTAGCAAAGAATTCTGAAATGATCGACTGATGTTCATTTATGCCGCTTTAATACATTGTGTCATATAGTGTATTGGATCTTCCCTCCTGTTCTGTCCCTGTTAATGCACATTTTCCCATCACCCATCTCTCTGACATCTTCCCCTTCCTGTTCACGGCCAGGTACTGTTTCCCCCGCCAGCTCCTGATCCCTCACTTCTGGACTCCCAAGCAGCAGGTGGAGTTTCGGGGACGATACCATTCCCTCAGGGCCCAGCACCACTGGGCAGTGCTCAAAGGGCTCGAGAATAGGAGTTGCCATGTCAAAGATAGTCAGCTTCAGAGTCGCCTTAAGGACCTTTGTGCTAAAGTAAGTGAATCCATCAGAGCTTTTGTTGTAGAAATGCTGTAGTATGGTGAGGAAAATGCCTCGTAATACCCTTTCTGTTCATAAATTATGTCAAAGGGTGCAGAACAGATTGCATTATCTCACACATTCTCCCCATATTGATCACATATCCCAGGTATGAACTGCACTCTTCTTTGTAAATATCCTTGAGAATAAGTGTAGAGCACAGACTGATGCATTCACTTTGCATAAAGTGACTAAACAGTTAGAGATAACTAAAATGAATCAGTGACCTGGGCCATAAATACCATGTGTACTCCTTTTCTTACACATAAACGCGTATGCATAAGCACAGAATGTGTGGGAAGAATGTGCGCGCCTCATGCATACTTCAGATCACGTGTACATGTGGTTTGAGTAGGTGCGATATGGTGAAGCAGAAATGAGGCGAGACAGCCGATGTTAAACAGCTTGCATTATTTTTAAGTGTTTACATATACTCCAGTTCATAAAGTGAATTTTTAAACTGTGTTTTATTTTGGCAGAATTTTTTTTAAATTTCTTTTGCCTTAATGTAATTTTCCTGTTTTTCTATTTTAAACTTTCTGTAAAATGCTGATATTGCTGTCATTAATTTGTTTTTGTTTAATGATGATTGAGACACCACTGCTTGCTGGTTCTACAGGAGAGGAGCTTGATGGCTAAAGGCTCCTCCTCCCATTCTACTTCTGTATAGTCTAGGAACCACAAGTAGACCTGAGTGCTCTGTTGGGTTGGCAAGGTACTATGAGGTCTTTAAGATACGATGGAGCCTTAAGGGCTTTGTATCAACTTAATGATGGCTCTTACAAATAGATGGTCCAGCCTAATCCTGCTTGTTTTCCGTCTTCACTATGTTGAATCTCCAGTGTAAAGGCACCACTGCAGAGACTACTCTTGGTGATGCTTTATTGTGAGCTGTATGAAACAGCATTCTTAAAACTGATCTGATCATGGTGACAGGCAGGCTGAACATCACTGGTTCATGGTCTTTTAGAGAAACTGGAGTTATTTCTGTGACCTGAATGTATTCTTATAAATGAGGGGAACAACCTGGGACTAGCTGGACCTCTGTCCAGTGTTGTGTGAAAGTGTGATAAGCTGATTTTTGGTGTATTTTCAGGTACAAAATGGCAGAAACCCTAATGCATCAGAAATTCTTGCTGTTCGAAGTCTTTTCTCTGGACCTCCTCTGGGCATAAACAGGATGAGTGTGAATCACATGGTCAGTAAAACCCCTTCACTTCTCACAAACGCTGCTCATTCAGTTGATTTGAAAGGCAGAAGGCCTGGTGAACCTGAACACCACGCTATGTCGTCTCTTTGTCTCCATGGCCTATCAGAGACACATCAGTCCCCTGCTCTTCCTGACGCCTCATCTGCCATGGTTCCTGCTCAGCCGACGGCTGACCCACCATGCCCTGGAGCTGCTCCAGCTGGACCGAGCCCTCAGCAGACTGGGCCCTCACCAGCTGAGTGACTCTGAACTCAGACAGGTCTGTAAGACATCAGGACTTCATAGTCACCAGCTAAACATGACTTACAGTGGAGTGAACCCCTTGGTATCACCCACATTTATGTTCTTCTTAAAACTCTCTTTTATCACATGGCCTTCTCCTAAACGATGCATTGTAGTAAGTGTTTTAACCGATTATCATGTTTTAGACTAATACCTGTAAAGAAGGCACTTTGTTTTTAAATGGTGCTTTATACATTTATTATAATTCCACCAGCACTGAGAATGTCTAATGGCCACGTTCAAAAAAGAGATGAATTGTGTGTTAGAAGTTTCTGTTCCTGTGATTTAGATGAAAATCAGATCACGTTTCATTACCAATGAATGCAGAAAACCAAGTTATTCCAAATGGTTCATTCTTTCTTTGCTACCACATATGACAAACACAGTGTATTCCTTGATGTGTTATAAAGACCTTGTTTTTCCAGGCTTGCTTCGTGAGGGGGCTCGATTCTGACAGTCTTGGCATTTACCAGTGCCGTGAGTGGTTATACCAGTGGCTTCAGATGTCCTCCTCATTGAAAGGTATTTTCGTTTTGCTGGACAGGATATTTGTAATTTTGTGATTAGTCTCACCCTGTGGGCATGTCTGTTCTGTGTAACGTTTAAAAGAATTGTGCACGTATTTGCTTACCGAGTAGATTGAAACCACTGGCATGTTGGTGCATTAAATATGAAGCTGCAGCAGGTTAGGTTAGCTTAGCATAAAGACTGGAAACAGCTAGCCAGGCTCTGGCAAACGAACAAATTTCAAGGCCTTTGTAAATGAGATTTAGGACTTTTTTAATACCTTGAGGCCTTTTAAAGACTTTCCAGACCTGAATAGATCCTCAAAATGTCAGACTATTCACTTTACTCTCTTCTCTTGATTTGTTTTCTCTAAAACCCAATTCTATCTTTACACTTCTTGTTTAATTTTTTTTGCAGACTCAGAGATATCACTGCTTTTGCACAGCATTGTATTTCTGTCAGCAAACTACCCGAATGGTCCCAGTCGCCACTGACAGGAAGTCTGAAGCAGTCTGATTTCTGACTTATTTGTGCACTATGAAGCATAGCTGTCGACATCGTTTTTTCTAAGGAAAAAACATTTTAAACTTGGCAAGAGTTTTATGTTTAAGGGACAAATCCTCTCAGACCAAAACTGAAAGCAAGTCAAAGTCAAAAGGATCCCACTCATTCTCGATACAGTAGAGTTGTTCTGTTTGCCATTTAAAGTTTTTAGCTAAAAGCTCCTCTCATCAGAAGTGACACCCAGTCATTTCCTCTATTAATAGTATTTTCAGCAATCCCCTTACAGAGACTAAAAGTGACAATTAATTGCTCCTACCCATGGTTGTCAGTCCTGGATCTGCTTGTTCGTCTGTGCCATAGATCTCCATTGTTCAAAAACAATTAAAAGCACATCAGTGAAACAGCTGCACCGGGTGACACTTTTTTGGGGGTAATGAAACCCCAGACCCGCCTATGTTGCCCCAAAGTCTCAGAGCAGCCAGTACTTCCTGAAGTTAGCATGAGGCAGAGCCAAAGTGTGCATGTTCCCCGAGCTCTCAGCTCTGTTTACCTTCCGCTAGCTAGTCACATTCAGTTCTGGTGTTTGCTAATGAAGAAATGTCGCCCGGTGCAGCTGTGTGTTGCACAGATGTTTTTAAATCCTTTTTGAACAACAGAGGTCTATGGCACAGATGAAAAAGCTAACCTAAGACCAACACACTGACAGACATTAACCACGAGCAGAGGCCATTCATTGTGGGTTTTAGTCTCTGTATGCAGATCGCAGACTACACATAGGCATCTTTTTAGAGGTAGACATGTTTATGGATGCTAAATACATAAAAAAAGCCCACCGGGTC